AGTATGTTAAAAAAGGTAAAATTACCTAAAAAACTTATATTTTGCTGACATCAATTTGCTGTTTTTTGATTAACTTTTAAATTAGTTGTAGGACATAAAGTTAATGTTAAGTAATGTTTTGTTAACTTTGCGTATAAGAAAGAATGGTTTGTTTTCCCCCAATTCAATATGGTTATTTTTGATTTCGCGAAATAGTCACGTGATTGCTACTGAAAGGTATAATAACGGGAATTATAAAAATCAATGTCTATTATTTTATCGGTTCTCCATTGGTTTTGTTTTCATGGAGTTAATCAAAGAGTGCACTGAGAGACTCATATAAGCATAATTGGTAAGGGAGTTTTTCATATAAGCATAATTGGTAAGGGAGTTTTAAGGGAGTTTAAGAGATTTTCTGGTTTAATGCTTTTTTTCAAATTTCTGTGATAAGAACTAAAATCAAAATATTATTTTGGGAAAGATATCTAAGTTTTTAAAAGATCAACCAAATTTTTCTATATTTTTAAGATAAAAGCAAACTTTAAACAAGCGAATTATAGAAAATACAAAAAATTTAAAGCAAACTTTTGGTTTATTGCATGAAACAATCTGTTTTGGGTGTTGTGTGAAAATTTTAGCTCAAAAGCTATAATAGAAAAAGAATTATCACATTTCCAAATTCTATTAATTAAACTCTGAAAAAACGCATATTGAGAAAATAAGCAAAACGTAAAACATTTTGTAAAAAAAGCTATAGTAAGATGTTATTTTTTAAAGCTTTTTAATTCTAAGCTTGATAAAACTAATTTAAAGAGGTTTTGATAATGGAAAATTATACAACATCTACATAATCTATAATTTTATATTTATAAACTAGACCACACGAATAAAAATAAAAATTAAAAAAATCGCTGCGTAACTAAAAATAAAGGAATACAATATTCAGAATAATAAACATGCCCTATACATTCTCTCTTTACAACTTCTATACCATCGTATGTGTTTTTCACTGAAATAAAACTTTTGGAATCGCCATCTCCATATAATTCTGTTTCATTTGCGATTTTGTGGATCTCGCAAAAATAGTTTTTGTGCCATATTTAGTGCTGATCCAGTAAAATTTGCTGAACAGTTGTGATTAATTTCCAAATTAGTTTTCTCTAATGAGTCTATCATTTTATAAATTTTCTCACATTTTTTACAATACTGACTCATCGGAACAACATCCAAAACTTTGTTTGTGCCCATTGAAATGCAACTAACAGACCATTTAGCGATGAAAATCCTCGCCTTTGCCAGGTACCATCACATGACACAGGTACATCATAAAAACTAATTTGTGGTGAATTTTTGGATAACGCTTTTGGTTCTTGAGCTGCATCATTCAAAGTTTGAGTAGCAACAACCTTACCATTTATTTTGAACGTAAAAACAATCTTGGTATAATTTTTTGATGTAAATGGTGGTGGAAAATTCATAAAGGAACTAAAACGATTAATACCAGCAAAGCCTTGACGCATCGACGCATCAAGTATACTATTCTATAGTTTATACTAAACCCTCGTAAGTTAAAAGGTATTTTTTTTGATGTCCAAAATGAATGTTCCCATTGGCAAGAACGTTTTCCTTTCATTTTACTTGCAAACCCATATTTTAAACTTTCACTTAGCTTCATACATGAACTTTGTTTGCATTAAGGACAACCAAGAACTGAAATTAAGTTTGATAAATGGAACATGATTCCCAGTAATACCATCATTTAAAACCTGAGAATAGCATGGCTTGACAGCTTCGTATAAGAACTTGTTTTTGGTGATGATGCTGAAGTAAATGGAACAAGATTTAACAGATTTCATTGACACACATTATTTTTTGTTTGTGTTGGTTTCCTTTAAACTTCCTTTTCTTTTTTCTGAAACTTGCAAATTTTACTTTTTTAATTTTATCATTTATTATCGTTCTTTTATTTGCAACATTATTTTTTTTCCATTATTAACTTAATAATTAAGCTCTTTGTTTTTACCAATAATTATTTTTAAACTTATCCTCAACTAAAAATATCAATAAATTATTTATAAATAAATACAATAATCACTAAATAATCTACAAAATATAATTTAACTTATAATAAATAGTGATAACATTTGAGAAGTGTATGTTATGTGGTTGTGTAAAAGCGTGCTTAACATGCTCAAAAATAGCTTTCCAGACCTACATGGAACTACTTTGAAAAATTAACACTTCACAGACTTAATCACAGAATTAATCATATAAGATTAAGTTAATAAAAAGGTATTGTAGATGGTAGAAAAAATAAAATAAAATTGTTGCTATGGGCGTTAAGGAAATTCTTTTATACTATGTTCAAAAAAACAAGAAATAGACATACTTATGTTGTTTTTTTATTATTTTTAAATTAGAATCAGATTCCTCGTTAAATTTTATACTTAAAAAACAAAATACCCAAAATTTCAATTTTTTATTTTTAGTGCTATTTTGAAGGGGGTGAGCCCCCTTAAACTTCTTAAACTCCTAAATAACTTAAAAAACTAATAAGCAATTAGCTTGTCTTAAATACAGTCTTTTAAAATAACACTCTTAATTATTTTTTAGACAAATAAATATTTAGTATTGGACTAACTGTAGCCAAAATACAGCATCGGAACTTTTTGAATTAGGAATATTGTTAAAAACATTAAAGTTGCAAAAATTTGCGCAGTTCTTACGAAATGCCTTTTTTGTGAATGCAAACCCATGGTGTGGGAACGGGTATGGTGTCGTCTAATCCAGAATCAAACCATTTAGATAATAAAGTATTAAAGTCAAGTATAAGTCTAAATCATATAATACAATAAATATCGATAAAACAATATGTACAATGTATAAACGTTAGTATAAGATATGTACCAGAAAAAATCTGCGCGGGTATTTTAAAGGATATTTATTCAACTATTGTATTTCGGTATTGAATGTTATATATATTTTAAGAGTTCATATATTAATACTTTTAAATTTCACTAAGTAAGTGAAATTGTATACGTGAGAACGCACGCACGCACTTTGCGTTTTTCACTCGACATCTGCTTTTGCAGTCTTCGGCTGGACTTTCTTGGTAGTTTTAATCCATTTATTTTTGAAGTCTTGAATGTTTTAAGTTGTTTTTTACATTAAACCATAACTTTCTATTGACAATAGCCTAATATCTTTTGATAGAACATAATACAAGAAAATTCTCCGGACTGCAGTATTTTTTTAACAATATCTACTTTATATTCTAATAAGCTTATTTAAAGTCGTACAAGAGTAGTGGCACGATGCAAAATTAAGCCAAAATAACGGATTACTAGTATGAGATTTTAATAACGGCAAAACGTTTGACGCTTAACGTTTCTTAAGGCGTTCTTTAATGTATATTTTGGTGTTTAATGTTCGTGTAGTCACAAAACATAAGCTTCTTTCACCGCATTCACAAATTACTTGCCTAACTAAGAATTTTTTAGCGAGTTTTTGCATTCCAATGCATTTATATTCGGAATTTAGTTTCTTGCAATTATTTGCTGAATAATATTGGTGTCTTGGAAGAGAATGGATTTATGCAGGACAATAAGTTTCATCATTAACAATTATACAAGATTTTTTAGCACATAATTTTTTAGTGTAGCTTCGAGAGATAAACTGCAACATTTTCTTGCTTTTCTTTACGACAAGGAACTTATTTCTTTTTATTAGATTTTTAGCCGCAGTATTTCTCCACTTTTTGTATAAGCAATCGCCTTAAATTCATTTGCTAAAGTTCAAACAGAAATCTCCGGGTATCTGTTAAAAAACATCTTTCACTTTTGAACAAGATCTCATCAAACAAAAAATTTTTTTCTTCTACTCACTGATTTCCTTCCAGTTGTACCAGTGTCTTTATATCGTTTCACAACGCTTAGCACTGTTCTTAACTACAACTCTTTTAAAATTGTTTTGTTTCTTACAGCAGGATTTTCTACGAAAAAATTTCCATTCGTTTTTTGATTTGATGTCGTTTCAATTAAAACTAATTCTTTTGATGAAAAAGTTTTTTAAATTTAATTAACACTAATACAATCATATTTTAAAACAATTAGCTAATTAAAGTAATGCAGGGCTTTAATAAACACCACATTAGAACACGCGCAAATTTTTTCTGTTACATGTCTTATTGAAAAGACTTTCTGTTACATGTCTTATTGAAAAGACCTTTCAAAATCTGTCTAAAAAAATATTTGCTATATATTAGTATATAAATAGTCACATTAAAAAAGCAAATACTACTTTACTTTATTTTACTTTTGATTATGGTTTTTGTTAAATAAAAAAATTATAAATAATTAAACTTTAGTTTCATGAAACAAAATGAAAAATAAAACAAAAATACTTTTAATAAAAAGTTTAATATAACAAACTTAGACAAAATAATAAGATCATTCTGAAATAATAACTTAAAAATTACTTAATATTAGTAACGGCATTCTCCACAAAACCAACTACTTATTGATTTCCGCTTAAAACCCAAGCAACAAAAGTGGTTCCATGACAAACATGCATCGCATTAAAGCAAAAGAATCGTTTTTTTTCTACAAATATTCGTTGCTGGGTCATCTTCTTGGATCAGCAACTTGCATATCTATGACTGAATTTAATGATGCAGTTGACAATTTTGTACAAATATTTATAGCTTTATTTGCATCGTCATCGGATTCTTACCATTGCAGACTTGAAAGTTGATTATCTATTGGCCGTAACCTTGCATACCTTTTAAGTGTATGATAAAAGAGATGTTGCTTCATATTTGAAATCTGCTTGAAGATTTTCTGACGGTCTTAATAATAGTGTTGGCTGGCTAAATAATTCTGTTTAAATTTCGACTTTTTTGATTTGTTCAATATCTTTTCCTTGAAATTCATGGTTATTTGGTTACTTCTTTTTAAAAATATTTGCACTTTTGTATTATTATATTACATTAATTCTTTTATATTTAAATCAAATATGACACATTCAAAGAGATAAAATTTGTTACCAATTTCGGAAAAGTTCTTTTTATGAAAATATGTCGAGCCATTACTTTGGGTTCTTAAGTTTGTTGACATCCACTGAGTTGTGCGGCTGTGATCTTCCAACGTCTTTACCCATTCTAATGCATTGACAAAACTTAAATGAGAAAGATTTGCGAGAATTGAAGCTATCGGTTTTAAATATGACAAAACTGTATTATTTCGCTAAGTATAAGTTGTCACTCTTTCTGTGCCATTTTTTGACGGGAATTGACAAGATTTGGTTTTTGGTGTATGCCTCCTATAAAAAAAATTAAAAATTACAAAAAATTATATTACTTAGTGGTATTTTTGTATATTCTTTGTTGGTATTGTTTTTTGTATATTTTGTATGAAAAAATATTAAAATGAAATATAGAAATCTTCTATGTAAATTTTATTTAAAGTTCCAACTATGGTTTAAAATTACTTGTGAATAAATAACCTTTAATTTAAAAGTTTCAAGTCGAACATAGATTTTTGCAAAACAGCAGCACACACATGATATTTTAAAAACAATAAAAAATGTTTTAAAAACAACATACTCGCTATGACTGTTTTTGACAAGATACCTATTGCTCATATCCTGTATTAACATAAAATATATAATTGTTAGCATCACCTTATATCATATAAAATATTAAACCAGTAACCTACCTTTTTTGCAATATACTCAGTCATTTTATTAGATAATATTATTTAACAATTAAATTTGAACAAAATGATCTTCCTTTATCAGAATAGTCTTTGAGAGCATCTGGAACATCTTTTCTTTTTTGAGACACTAATCAAAATCTGAGGGAGATATTTTTGAGTACATAACTCTATCTAATGAAATCAACGCAAAATTCCTGGGCTTATTTTTAACAGTAGCAGTAATGGTCAATGATATCCATATACCAGAATAAATTACACACATTATTTAATTAAAATATAAACATGCAAGTAAAAATGAACTTGTCAAAATTATATTAAAAAAACGTTTTTTGTGAAAGTGAAAAACTCCAATGCATTGATACCCAAAAAAACATCTTCCCTATTGATAACCAGTTTTGTTCCAAATAAGTAAAAAAATTGGGAAATGTATGTACTTTTATAAATTTTATTGCATCTTAAGATTCTGCTTGTTTACTTTTTACCATGCTTTGAATTTTATTTAAAAAATTTAAATCTATAAACTTTTTATTGTTTACAAACTAATTTCAAAATCACAGTCATAAAAAAATCATATACCTCATAAATTAAATATTGCTCTCTTTCAGTCACTGGCAACTTTTTCAGTTCTGTAACAAATGCTTTCACTATATGAACTCAACAGAAAAGAATTCTACTTTATAGAAAAACAGTCTTTATAGCAGAAATTTCAGCATTATCTTTGTCAATAACAAGCGTGGCAGATTTTAGTAAATAACCAGTCCAACAATGAATATCTTCAAGAATTCTCTCGAAATGATTCTGATTTTCTATCAACAAGACTATACATTACTGGCTGACCTATTCTATTGCAGTCCACAATAGCAATGGTGTATAATGGTATTGCCATATTGTTGACCTGAATATAAATGTCATTTGAGACAATATGTTATAACATAAATTTTAAAATATTACCATTAAAGCAATCGAAAAAAATCATAACATAAAAATTACTAATTTAAATTTATTTAGGTTCTTTTCAACTTCATCTTCTGCTTTATATTATATAATCATTCTGGTTATACCATATCAATAAAAAATTAATTAACTATGATCATGATCATCAACAACATGACCACTAACAATATCACCAACAACAACATAATCACCAGCACTTCAATTACCTGTATTTATCAACCATATCGAAAAGAATAACAAAAGAGTTAGCAGACTTGTGTCATCACTTTCATTGTTTTTTCGTCCTTTTTTTTCCGCCCTTGCACGGGATTGTACAGATGTCACAAAACAAAAAAGTAACAAGATTAAAAGATAAATATGGTTTTTATTTAAAATTTGACTTTTATTAAATAATATTTATAAAAATCTTATTACTTATAGTATTCATAAAATCATATGTGGAGAAAAAAATAAAATAAAAAATAATAAACAAATTCTTTGTTATTTTGAACAACTAAATCAAAAAAGCCATTAAAATAATACAATAAAAATAGGGAACATCATTCAATAACAGTTTGTATACACAATTAAATTATAATTGAATAGTTTGTAATAAAACTAATGCTAAACTTCAAAAGGGATATTAGAAACAATTAAAAAATTCTTATTGAAAATATATTACTAGAGAAATTATTAAAATCACTATATTATTATATAAATAGTTGATAACAAAATTTAAAATAAAATTGATCAGTTAAGTCAACATTAACTAATACTTAGTTCAATTCCATGTATAACGAAAACTGTATATATTTCTAATGTAAGTGAATTTGGATAACACAATATTTAAACTTTGTGGTTACTGAACATGTCAAATATACATTAAAATTGCAAAAAAAAATTTCTATAATAAACAAGTACTCTTAGTTTAATGATAATACAATTACCAAATTCTACTAATACAAGTGTATCTATTCTTGTTATAAATTATAAAAACTTTTTTATTTTTTGTAATTTTGAGTGACTGCCAACAAGGCTGTAAGCAACCACTAATAGGTTGGAAGTTACTAGAAAATAAAGAATAAAGTTAAAAAGTTAAGAGAAGAATTCAAAAGTGGTAGATTGTTTGTTAGGAAAACATGAAGATGGGATAGTGTTCCAAAGGGATGAAGAAAGACAGAAAAAACTATAGGAATAATAAAAATTTTCAGAACATGCAGGGACAAATACTGTAAATGGATAAGATTATGGTGAAATAAATTAAATTATTGTAAAAAAAACTATAATAATTTTAAACTTTTTATTCTTTATTCACAAAGTAATATATAACATTGTGAGTTTTTGGCGGTATGGAGTTATTTATACCACTATTTAGTATTTCAAGTTCTCTATCGTTTGATATACAACACAAATTTTTTAAATCAATTATAAATAAGTTATTAAGTTTTTTTAATTCAAGTATTACACAAAAACTTATTATTTTAACTAATACAAAAAAACTTATATGTTCATTATCTCAAAATGATGTTTTTGGAAAAAGTGCATTTACGATGACACACCCACAACAATCCTTCTGACACAACACAATAATAGTTTATATATAATACATTTATTTACACTAATTTACACATACATGAGAACATCAAAAGCTTCTTGGTCTCCTCAATTTGATTGGAGCCTTTGACTTTTCCATGACTTTTTTGACTTTATTCAAAAAATGGTCGCTGAGCCAGCTCTTAATTTGTTGAATAATTATAAATAATTAAATTTGAATCTAGATAAAGGAGTATTTAGATAAATAATAACTTAATCAATCAATAAATTTAATAATAAAATTAAACAAAGACCTAATACTAAATTAAATAAACTATCATCCAATATAAAAAGTCTTTGTCTTAAGTATTTTTAATCTCGTTTACCAGAAAATAAGAAAAATTTGTTTTGAAAAAATGAATAGTTTTTTTTAAACAAATTGCTTAGGGCAAAATGCTCTAATAATGGCCGGGTCTTATTAAGAGCCAAATTTGAGTCCGATTTTATTGAATTTATTTATTTGGCGGAACATTTATCTGAATGATGAATATACTTTTGTGTTTCTTTAACATATCTATGTTTTGTTCTAACGTTTATAAATGTTTCATTCAGTCTTGATTTTTAAGAAATCTTGTTTTTGTCAGAGTTAGTTATATTAAATATAGTAAATATAAGTAAATATTTTATACTGCCAGTAACTATATTTGGTTTTTTCAAGCAACTTTTAGACGCATTTGAAACAATACTCTTTTAGTTACGGAATTTTGGCATATTTTGATCTGTTGTGTTACTATAATATTATAATGTGAACTGTTTTGTTGGTCACTATACGATAGACAGAAGTATAAATATAACCTAAACTCTCAGGTTTCAAATAGATCCTAATAATAGCCACTGGTTTGAACAATTAAGAGCTACGGCTCCTATATGTAACCGATGTGGCTAATATTAGGACAATAGTTTAATTTGTGTATATAGACTATATTATAAACTATAATATAGTTAATATATACTTTATATACATTGTGTATATATACACATAATATATATAATATATACTGTGTATATATACACAATGTATAAATATATATAGACTATATGTATGTATATAGACTATATTATAAACTATATTATAGTTTATACACAATAAATTAAACTATTGTTCTAATATTAACTATAGTTATTATTTATTTTACAGTGTTTATTATATGAGTTTACTATATTTGTAATGTTTTTTAAGTATGTAATTTATATTATATAATGTTTGTAAATATTTAAAATAATGTTTTCGATATCTATTATTCAATTTATATCCAAAAAAAACAAATTATTTTTTTATTTTTATAGGTACATAATAATTTTAAAAACAAAAATGTAGTTACATACTTACAAACATCACATAATACATATATACATACTATGTGAATATGTAATATAAAATATAATATAGTATATATGTATTATGTAATGTTTGTAAATGTGTAATTTTATATTATATGTTTTTGTATATTTGATTTGTACCCAATAAGCATACCGATGAAGTTCTACCTAAACCATATCTAATTATGTTGTATTCAACAATTGTACATATGTATGCTTTGTCTGTTATATTGATGCACAGCATATTTTGTATGTGTATTTGTGACATCTGTGTATATTATGATAATATATTTAGATTAGATATATGTAAGTTCAACTATTGTAGTTAGTATACTTTTGTATTGTAGTTAGTATCTTTTAGTTAATTTGAGTAATTATAGGAAAAACGAAAAAAATTACAAAAAAAAAAGAAAAGAAAATTAAAAAGAATTCTGCCTCTAGTTTTAATTCGAGGTTGAACCAGAAATTGGCAAAAGTATAGAGATTTCACTGGTCCAACAGCAACATGAAAAATGTAATTGCTGCTTTTTAAAATAACTTAATGTCAATTTACCAACGAGAAGCTGCAGTACAATTTAGTATTCCTTGGTCAACCCTTGGTAAATATCTTTAGGGATATTCTTTTGACAAGTCAAATTTTTGTAGGCTTTTCAAGAAAGCCTAAGATCATGCTCTCACAGCTGACAGTATTATTTCAGGGTTTTGATCATCTGACATTTATTCATATAATTCATCTGTTGTTCCAAGCACTTAATTCTGCCTATTCCCTGTAACAGCTACTTGAAAAAAATGATCTGCTTGAATCAAGTCTGCACCCAATCAAAACTGACACTAAAATAACAAGATTCCAAAATTCAATAGAATAAGAAGTCAATTTTAAAGTAGAATTAAGCATAAATAAACCTGAAAGCATGTTTGAATGTATAACAGATAGTAATTTGTTAACCTTAACAATAATACTGCTTCTTTGATATGGGATACGCATTTAACTCATGAGCAGTTTCCAACTTTCTGTATTCAAAATTGCTACGACATACCAGATCCTTTGTTTAGATTATTTAAAGAATTGCTAACTGAAACAGATTTCATGTACAAATGCCATTTTAGAAACAGATGACTCTGTTTCAATGAATCCATAGTTCCTATTCCAATTTTAAATGAAACCAATGTTCAGCCAATATCTGTTCCAAATGTAACAACTGGACAGTTTTTTTTCAAATCAAACCACTCATCATTGTAATCAGATGCCAATTAAAGCCATTGTTCAACCGAGTCTAACACCAATTATTTTGTGCACAAAGCATTCAACTAATGATAATGACAGTGATATTTTGTCTTATCCAAATATATATGCACCAAGACAAAAAAAAATTGAAAAAAGGTTCAAAAATATTTTGTATTAACTTCTCAATAAGCAATGCAATCTGAATTGAACGATGAGGTAAAAAAAAAAAAAGAGAAAAGCCAAAAAGACAGCTGAAAATAAAAAAATTGAAAAAGCAAAAAGAAAAAGAAAATAAAGCACAACAAAAACAAGAAAAAGAGATTCAAAAGTTATCTAAAAAAGCTAACTCAGCTAAAATGAGAAAAGTCAGTTCAATTCCAAAGATAATGAAAGTCAATATTCTGGTCAATATCTTCTTATAATCAAAAAATCTGAAGTACCAGAGAATACAAATCTGTTCATCGATAATAATATTAGTGAGCTCATTTAAATAGATTATTTATAATTCATTATTAAAACTTCAATATTTTATATTAAAGCTTATTGTCTATATATTGAAAATTTCATTATTATATGCAAGTGTTATAACAGCTATGTGCTAGAGCTATTTTCTTATTTAAAATTTGTTCTATGCTTTTATTATTGTTCTTTGCTTTTATATTTTACATAATTAGAAGTATATTTAGATACGTCGGTTTTAGGTAATATAAGTGGCTCATAATAGGTGCCGTTTCCTAATTTACTGGCTACTATTTGGTCAACCCGGCCATTAATTGGTACACAATTAAAATTATTGTTTAAATAGATTTTTCTCTGAATTAAGCATGTTTTAAAACTAAAAAAGGTTCTAGTCATTAAATGACTGACGCCTACACCTTACCTTTTTTAGTTTTAAAAAATGCTTAATTCAGAGAAAAAATCTATTTAAACAGAAATTTTAATTGTTTATTAATTGTAATTTTTTATTGTTAATAATTGTTTATTAATTGTAATTAATGACTAATAACACATTAAAAAAATATATTCACTTTTACATTAAGGCATCCTTCACAAAACTTGTGGCCATTAATTGGTCACTTTGCCCTACATGTAAATGTTTTTTTGTACAATTTGCTTTTTTAAAACGCATGTAAGAATGAATAAACACACATTTGTGTTTATTATTAGAATGAATAAACACACATAATGTGTGTTTTTCATTCTTACACGCGTTCTTATATTATAAGAATAAATAACGGCGCATATAAAAATGAATAGACGCGCATATAAGAATGAATAACCCTGTAAACTAGTGCATATAC